TTACTGAGGAGTGGCTTCCGTCTGGCCACTCTACCAAACAGGCCTAATTTGTCCTTCTGGAAGGTTCTCCTCTCTTCATAGAACAACGCTGGAGCTCTGTCAGAGTGACCATCGGGTTCCTGGTCACCTCCCTGACTAAGGCCCTTCTCCCCCGATCGCTCAGTCTGGCTGGGCAGCCAACTCTAGGAAGAGTCCTGGTGGTTCCAAACTTCTTCCATTTCCGGATGATGGAGGCCACTGTGCTCATTGGGACTTTCAATGCTGCATAAATCTTTCTGTACCCTTCGCCAGATCTGTGCCTCGATACAATTCTGTCTCAGAGGTCTACAGATCATTCCTTGGACTTCATGGCTTGGTTTATGCTCTGATATGCACTGTCAACTGTGATACTTTATATAGATAGGTGTGTGCCTTTCTCAATCATGTCCAATCAACTGAATTTAGGACAGATGGACTCCAATCAAGTTGGATGTTTCTACAACTCTGCAAAAATTTGCAAAAAACTGTTTTCACTTTGTCATTATGGGTTATTGTGTGTAGAATGTTGAAGAAAATAATGAATTTAATCCATTTTGGAATAAGGCTGTAACATAACAAAATGTGGAAAAAGTGAATTGCTGTGAATACTTTCCGGGTGCACTGTATATATCTGTATATATCTATATCTATATATATATATATAGAGAGAGAGAGAGACAGAGAGAGAGAGAGAGAGAGAGAGAAAGAAAGAGAGAGAGAGAGAGAGAGATATCTATATACATATTCCAACATGAGGGTTCCCTGAAAAATACACCCTAAATAAAGAGCTCCCTGTAATAACCTCAGCTCGCCCCCTTTCCAGAGCAGTTTATGTTTCGCACCAGCGATAGGACAGTAAATAAGTAGCTTACGACACACAAGAGCTTTTCCCCGACTACAGGCTGTTGGCAGCCCTAAGTAGCTGTGATGGGGCCGTGTTTCATGGGGGCTTCCGTCGCCACGGAGCTAAACGCTTGAGAGGGACAGCACGCTGCGGCTGCAAGTAGGTTAACATTTAACAGATTTATTTTCTTTTTGCATCCTACAGTAAATCCCTGCACAAATCAAATGGTCTGTTCATTCTTCATCCACCACAGGATGCACAGTATCCATCCATCCTCTTGATGAGTGATTTAAATGCGTCCGGTCTTCTGGACAAAGTTGGCAACTTGCGGACTAAGCAGTTTGTCGGAGCAGATCCCTTCTAGCTCAAGAGACAAATAGTCTGTATATAATGTTGTTTAAAACAAGGGCATTAAAGAACAGATATGCGTGAGTCATGCTTGCTGTCAACCCATTTGAGGGAATGAGAGACAATTTATTTATACTTCCCTCTTCCAACAAACACGCACAAAATCTTGACCAACACTCCAAACCAGCCCAAACCTGACTTTAAGCATCTCGATTGAATGGGCGACCATATCCATAGGGAGCGGGGCGTTGAACAAAACAAAATGATAAATACTATCAAAACTCATAATGGCAGCTTTAAATAATTGGGTGCAGGTAAAGGACCAACTAGCATGATGCTATTGACACCGGGCAGCCTCTGTAATTCTAGAAAAAAAAATGTAAAAGCCCAACTTCACTGTAGGCTGTTTTATTGACTTTCCTTTTAGCAAAATGCTTTTAGTGAATTCAAGCCCCTTTTGGTAAAAGGTTGCTAGGTGTTTCTGGCTTTTATTGTGAAAGGTAAGAACAGAAGGTCCGCGCTGCCGTTTTTAATATTTGAAACTAGTAATAAAGTTTGCCTTCTTTGTACCCTCTATTCCATGTTGTTGACCACTGCGGTGAACTTTTTGGATACGTCCACAAAACGTGAGCTCAAAAAAATAGCTTTTCACCAAGTAATAGCTGTGCTTTGTGTGAATAGCCTTTAAAAAAATATATTTCTGTGCAAATGAATAACGTGCGTGGAAGAGGGGTTAACTCCAAAGCCAAATCTGACCAGAATATTAAAGTTTAAAGTTTCAAACGAGACGTTTTAAACATGTCAGGAAGGTGGTAAGCTCCGTGAGCCGTGATGTACACACTTCATTCTCTCCATATCACACCTTGAGGGGGGGGTCCCTCAATGCCTCAGGCGCCCCCCCTCCCTCCCCTTTCCTGCTATCAGTCACTCTTTCTTTTCCTTGTCTTTCTTTCTCCTCTTCCTGTGGAGAGCAGCGTGTTTGTGCATAATTTCCATTTCAAGGGGTCGTATAAACTCCCGTCCATACAAATGAGTGAAACTCTCTGAGGTAATAATCACCTGAAAGCCCCCCGCCCACACTCACGCACAAACACACAAACACCCCAGGTGGCTCCACATTGGATCGGTGACATGAATAAATAATTAAATGAAATCTGGTTTTACTTTTTATTTCATTTTCTCAGGCGCTGAATCCAATTCCGCCTCCTACCGTTGAGGACGTGACCCTCCGGTACGATCACCGCCGATCAGGACGTGTGTGTGTGTGTGTGTGCGCGCCGTCCTGCCTGTGTAACACATAGGTAACAATAAGTAATATATGAAACAGCGTTGGTGGCATTCACACAACACCCAACAGAGAGAACGAATAAATATAGGTGATTATATTATACCTTAGGTGTATGATTTACCTGGTGACGCCTCCTTAATTTATCCACATATTGTAGGAATTCTTCCCTCTCCTCTGCTTAAGAAATCATCTTATATATGCTTCAGTTAGTAGGGCATTAGGGAGAATGATACAAAGATACATATTTTACATTTTCATACGCCAAACGGTATGAAAGGTGCGATTGGCAATCTGGACAGATTTATTTTTAATCATGCAAGCAAAAACCTGGGCCCTCTCTTGGCAGTGGCAGCTCCACAGGTTGCTTGGTTAGCGCCCCGAAGGTCACACCCCCAAAATGATCCTCGTGAATGTAAACGACAAACGTGTTTACTCACAGCCGCCATATGGAAAAGGATAATGACACGCAATTAAAAGAAGAAAGTAACAATTTTAGAGCAGAATATTTTAACCCAAAAAGTTTTTTCAAGAAGTTAACAACCTTAACTTTATGCAGAGATCCAATCATCTGTACACAGGACTTCAGCTCGTCGCGTGCTACCTAGTTTTATTTAAGAAGAATTGTGTTGTAAAAAGAACAGCGAAGGTGTTGAAATAGCACGTATAGGCAGAATGTGAAGTAAAATAAATAAAATAATAAAATAAAATGCTCAGCTGCTGGCTGTTCTGCATCACACGGTAAAAACCTGTCTGCTTTCTATATAAGAAACGTACATTCTGTGCTAGACCTGGCACGCATGCTTGTCCCCCTCTTCATACACCATAAACTGAACAACGAGTGGTGTGTGTGTGTGTGTGTGTGACGAACATTGCAAGTTTCCAGATGTTTGCCGATATTGAGTGATTACCTTTTCAGCGCTTATCATCCCTCTGTATCTACACCGTGATGCCTCCTCTCAATAATTGACTGCAAGGTAAGGGGTGCGTGTGCGTGCATACGTGTGTACACGTGCGTGTGCGTGCATACGTGTGTACGCGTGCGTGCATACGTGTGTACGCGTGCGTGCGTGTGTGAGAGCAGCCTCTTTGATTAGACAGACAAATATATTGTGTATTCAGCCACGGTGCCGCTGTTCCAACTGGCATAGCTAATAAAGAGCCATGCCCCTCCCTTGGCACTGTCGTGTGAGTGTGTGTGTGTGTGTGTGTGTGTGTGTGTGTGTGTGTGTGTGTGTGTGTGTGTGTGTGTGTGTGCGCACGCCAAAGTGTGATGCATAAAATAAAGCTGCAATTAAAAAGGCCTGTCAATGGTGTGTCTGCCATAGCGGAGGCTCGCACTGTCACTATCGACCAGCCTCAGCACACACGGTAGAGTGAGAGTGAGTGTGTGTGTGTGTGTGTGTGTGGGGGGGGCGAGGGGGGGGGGTGGCAGCACGTGACACATAGAGGAGGACTGGGAAGAACGGATCCAGATGGTGACGGTAGAGAAATTTCTAATTGCGTTTGGTCGACAAATAGAGGTAGTGGTGTGAAACAGTGATCCACTGTCCATCGCTCCATCCATCCATCCATCGCTCTATCCATCCATCCAATCAATCATCCATTGCTCCATCCATCCATCCTTCCATCCAATCATCCATCGATCCATCCATCCAATCATCCAGCCATCCTTCCATCCAATCATCCATAGATTCTTTCATCGCTCCATCCATCCAATCATCCTTCCATCCATCCATCCATCCTTCCATCCATTCAATCATCCTTCCATCCATCCATCCATCCATCCTTCCATCCATTCAATCATCCTTCCATCCATCCATCCATCCATCCTTCCATCCATTCAATCATCCATCCTTCCATCGCTCCATCCATCCATCCAATCATCCATCCATCCTTTCATCGCTCCATCCATCCATCCAATCATCCTTCCATAGCTCCATCCATCCAATCATCCTTCCATCCATCCATCTAATCATCATCCATCCATCCATCCTTCCATACATCCATCCAATCATCCTTCCATCCATCCATCGAATCATCATCCATCCATCCATCCTTCCATACATACATCCAATCATCCTTCCATCCATCCATCTAATCATCATCCATCCATCCATCCTTCCATACATCCATCCAATCATCCTTCCATCCATCCATCCTTCCATCCATCCATCTAATCATCCATCCATCCATCCACACTCTGCGTTGCTGCATCTTTCGGCGTGTTGTTTGGGGGTTTTGTGCTACGGTCTCACAGACAAAAGTGACCAACCGGTGGAACGTCACCTTCTGAACGGCAGCAGCTCAACATCCTTTCTCTCATCCAGAAGCAGATGAAAGGAGAGTCAGTGAGTGAACGAGGAGGTGACTCTGTGGCTCCTATATGTTTTCACAGATAACTGTTTGGCATTTTAACTTTTCCAAGGTCATATAATATGTCAGTTTTCACAGCTTCTTATGCTTCCCCCAAGTGGCCCAAAATATATTGCAGGATTAATGATGTATCCCAAAAAATACTTGTATTTATTTATTTACTCAATATAAGTCATAACCATGGCGGTACCAGATAACAGCAGGCTGAAGACAAAGTTAACATGAAAACAATGAAGATTCAGAAAAAACATCGTCAGGAAGGAACATATTTATGCACATGATTTTTCCAGATTTATCACGCATGTGTCACAGCATGACAGATGTTCTTCCAGGACTTGTTTAAGCAACAAAAGCCTTTCATTGTTTCCCGTGGTCAGTGAAGCGTGTAAGCTACAGCGTTTGACATCACACACTGCAGCATCTCGCACGATGGAATGTCTGTCGGCTTACTTCCTCACTTGCTTTCTGCACCATCAAACGTGCACGCACGTTCTAATCCCCCGTCCCTCCCCAGCCTCTCAGAGCAGGATGCGGTACTTGAGGGCGCGGGGGACCCTGTTGATGACGAGGCGCCCGTCGTAGCTGAGCGATGCGAAGAGCCAGGGGTCGGCCGACGACCACTCGGCCGCGTAGACGCTATCCTCGTGTTCCTCGAAGGTGGACACCACGCTGTCCTGCAGGGGCTCCTTACCCCTGAAGCACACGCAGCACAAAACACAGGCAGGGTGAGCTTTGGACCCGGAGAGACTGATTCATCTAGTCAGAGTTATTGTGAGGAGCATCTGGCTGGGAAACCACTCAACCATGATGCCTCTACGTGACCTACGTAAATAAACACGTGGTTATTGTTGGTGCTTGTTGGCGGTTTGTCCACGCTGTCCTCCTCTCGGACGCTGGTGGCAGAGAAAAGGGAAGCGGGTGCTTTGGCACCATTTTCCTCCCAGACTAAGGCGTCGTTAACAGAAATAACGCCGGCAGTCAATCACACGCAACCTCTGGCAGGACCTGCATGGAGTGGCGTTCACACTAGATCCCGTCTAGCTGTAAAGTATCTTTGATCCCAATCGACCGGTGTAATAACTTATTGTCATTACATTTGAGATGAATCAATTACATTTTACAATACAGCTTAATGTGGTACACTTGCCCTTTAATCAAATACGTATGTTAATTATTTCACAATTAATACCATGTATCCAATCATGAGGGCATAATACTAATGACCTTTGATTTTATCACCTTTATGAATCAAGACTGTTAAAAATATCTTGTGTAAATTAGTGCAGGAATTCTGCTCCAGTTGAACAATCCACATCAAATTCTGCATTGAGAGTTTTTGAGACCCCAAATATGCGAAAATTATTTTAGCAAATTGTGGAAAAAAATCCTTTTTTTGTTGTATGATGAATGAACCGTTGATGATTGACATTTAAAAAAAGATATTTGCAGAAACCTGTTATCAAAAATGACTTGAAGCCGCCAACAACTCACCACTGTCTGTCAGCAGAGCAACACACACCTCGTGGAAAATGTGTGTTTGGTCACCTGCGTGTGTGTGTGTGTGTGTGTGTGTGTGTGCTTGTGCGCGTGTATGATTGAAATAACAAAACCCTCCTGTAAAAGCACGGCTCAATAGCATTACGCTGGTCATATATATGCTTCCATGAAGCACACACAACCTGTGTTTGTACGGCTTCTTTGCTTTGTGGATAGCGCACGCACACACACACACACACACCAGCTGAGTACTGGAGAGCATTTACTCCCCCCGTCTTCAGCACACAAACAACCTCCCCAGTGCAGAGACACCTCTGCCACCAACACCCTGACATCAAACACACATTTTCAGAATTATCATCTAGTATTATTAACTTCCCAAATTCCTCCCATTAGGCAGCGGCTACATATTTGGATTTATTTGACACATTAACTCTTTCTCACAGACAAGAGCTGCTCCCTCGGGCTGCAGCCTGAAATAAAAACACTCTTAAGTGCTCCGCTGGTATAGAAAAGGAACAAGAGGGTGCGTGTGAGCGCACTCGACTAATTTTAAGGGTTTTGTCAATGGACGGTTCACCTGCTAATGCAAAGCAGCGTGCACTACAAACAGGGCAACATTTGTCACAGTGATAAACACTACCGCCTGTTTATTGAGTACTATGCCCGTTTAAAGCCTCAACATGTGAGATCTGCTCAATCTTCATATCTGCTTTCACTGGCTCCCTAAGCTGCCCCCTCTCAAAGAAGTATGCTGGTGGCAATGGAGGTACGAAAAACTAAAGAAATGAAAAGGGAAGTTTCTGCCTCAGGGGATGAAATCATGTGATATCTTAGCGTCCACAAACAAAGACGCATCTCCAGTGACTGGAACTGGAAACGGCGACCCCCTATTTGTCATGAGCATGTGACTGGATTCTACACAATGCACCTCAAAGAGAGGTGTCTGTTGAATTATCCTGAAACAGGTTATTAATATTTTGTTCATCTGATTTACAATGAGTGAGTGAGTGTGTCTGTAAAACACGACGTCATTCAACAGCCCCACAAACTAAAACCCTAACAAAGCGATTATACAGCTGAATTACAGACACGCCGTGTAGAACGCCACAACCGCCTCCCTTCCCAAGGTCAGAGGACGACAACGTCTGGTTAGTCTGTTCTGGGCTACCATAGAAACGTGGTGCCGTCTGTGGAGAGCACAGAAAGGAGAGGCTCACTGAAAGCCAACAAACACGCAACCAATCCAGTGTTTCTGATGATTCCCACCAATGGAATCGTTATGAATATCTCCTCCTTAATCCCACAGACCTTTAACGCCTCTTTAGATCTTAGTACAGGACTGTTGCATTCGACAGCATCGGCTTTAGCTACGTGGACCTAATGAACTGAAGGTGTTTTACAGGCCTCCATTAACACCCGATCTCAACGGAGGAGGAGTGAATATGTACTCATCCTAATGAGGGGTTGTTGCATTGACAAAAAGGCCTAGCAGATAACATCAGTCCTTTTGCTTGGCCAACTTAAAACAAAACATTCTGCAAATGTTTCACGACCTGTTGAATCTGGTAAACATCCGTATGAAAGTGTCAAGTTACAGCCTGGAGGAGTCCTGTACGCAGTGTCCAGGCCTCGCACAGTACGTACGGGAGGGGTCAAAGGGCGTATTGGAAGGGACCAAAGCGGAGCGCTGGTGATTAGAAAGAAGAGGTGATAATTGTGGATGAGAGTCAGTCATTGAGTGTCAGAGGGGGAATTGGGCACATTTTAAAAGCAGTGAATGGAAAACATTACGGATAATATCCAAACAGTGAAACACTAACTTTGCGAATGGATGTGGAAGAGACGGTTCAGGTAGTTCAACCTGCGGAGGTTTAATATCTGTGTCCTGAATACACAGAGCCTTTTGGTGTAAGCTGTACACTGTGTTTCATTAGGCCAGGAACCAATAACTTAGAACTGGAGCTTGGTTGTTCCACCGACCAACACGCCCAGATTCTGAGACGTGTAATACAAACCAGTAAAAGGGTACGATATTTCCACCACTTTACCTTCCCCTTTCAGTCAGGAGACTCGACTGACAAAAGAGTCAATTTACCTGGCAGAACTCAGGAGTTAGTGGTCCACATCTGGATCGGTGGGTTCGTTCTTTTGTGGTATTATGTGACTTAGTTGTAAAGTCACTGTTTTTATCAAAGGATCAGAGGCTGAGAGCAGAGGTTTTGTCAGAAAGGGCTGACTGATCTCAAAGTCAGAAGGGTCAAATATCAGTAATATATCTTGTGTACACGTAGGTGTGCTAAAATACGCCCACAGCAGTACGTTGCTTTGCTGCTGTTTGCTTCTCCAAACTCCATCTAATGTAGTGAGCACACTGAGTATGCAGAGCGTCTTCAACACATTAGAGCCCTCTATTGAACCTGAGAGATCCCCCATGTGCATTATGATGCAGATTCAAACTAAAGGAGCGGCTCTACTGTGCAAATACTTGAACGATGATGGAGGTCATTGACGGATCACCGGGGAGAAGCAGAGGACGCGTCACTAAAGCATTCAGAAGAATGAAATCACAACCCTGTTAATGTTTAATTACTTGGCAATGAGGGACGCTTTATACACAATATAAACATCAATAATTGGTAAAGGAGCTGATAATGTACCGCTCTATGTCAATTCCTTCCCTCCATTACACTCGCCCGTGGCGCAGTGATGCACAGTGTAGTAAACACAGTCGCCTGTAAATCCCTAAAGGTTTTTACAGCTTGAAGTAGAATAAAACGTTGTCACCTTTAAGCGTATCAATGAAAAACAGAAGCATCTCCTTCTCTAAGGACGAGTGGTTCCCTTACTTGTCCTCGTGGTGGTTTTCCTCCCCCTCGCTGAGCTCCTCGTCGTCCACCAAGTGCCCAAATGGCTCAGAGGAGATGGACACCATGTTGGAGAGGATGAGGCGGCTGTCACTGCTGGCCGTCAACACCAGCTGGTCGTGGCTGTGGTTGTAACGGACGCTCCACACCCTGGGATGGAAACACGCACCGGGCGACATGTAATCACTGCAGTGCATTCATGCAGCGCTGTGTTAAAGAGCCGCGTGTGGATCTCTTGTTCCAAACAAAAACTGATCTTAGTAGGGTGAACTAAATGTGTACACACACACACACACACACACACACACACACATAGTCGTGAGTCTCTCTTTCATGCATTCATGCCCACACAAATCATGCAGAAAATTCAGCGTTCTCACAGTGGGATTCACAGCCTTCGTGCCCCTCTAGGTGTAGACTCAGATGTCAACAATTGAGGATTTGGTACCTTTCACTCTACATTCGGGCTCAGTTCACGAGCCGATGATCATAATCATAAACTCCCTCATCCTGGTTGCTCTGATCCACCTTGTCCAATCCTCCACACCTTCCTCTCTCTGTGTCCCCCTCTTTCTATTCCTCTGTCTACAGTGTCCCCCTCTCCCGCTCTTATTCATCCTGTGTGTGTGTGTGTGTGTGTGTGTGTGTGTGTGTGTGTGTGTGTGTGTGTGTGAGCCAGGGGTGCAGCTCAGAGTGCGGCACCACTTCCCTCACAGGGAGGGATTGAGGGATAACGGAGGCTGTTGACAGGAAATCAGCCTCGGCCACGCCGTTCCCCGCGCTCCCCTAATCCGCTTCGCTGCTAAAAAAATAGTCCCCAATACCCCCAGCAGCCCTGAGGCCATATCCCTGCTCCTGCAACACACACACACACTCCTATGCATCACACTAAAGAGTGTACACACAGGACCAATACACACATGTGCATTATTGAAATAATATATAACACATGTAGCCACACAGAGAGATAAAAAGAGGACCCTCACAAAAAACACACACACACACACACTTACATACATGCACGCACACACACACACAACACGAACCTACATACATGCACGCACACACACACACACACACGCACACACGCACACACACACACACGCACGTATCTCCTATCTGAAGCGATCCCGTCGGCAGCTATCTACAGTTATGGATATGTTCTGCAAGTATATCTTTCTTTTCTAGATAACACGTGTGTGTGTGTGTGTGTGTGTGTGTGCACGTACACAAAGGCATACGCTTGTGTGTGTGTGTGTGTGTGTGTGCCTTTATCTTTATTTATTGGTGTGCTGCAGCAGCAGCCTAGTTTGGCTCGCAGGCACACTGATCATCTATTCAGCTCACACAGGAGAGGGAGAGTGTGTCTCCCATGCTCACACACACACACACACACACACACACACACACAGGCATGGACACACACATACACACACTTCTGCAGCACGCTACGTTGAGCTCTTGGCCCCGCCCCCAGGCCTCACAGAGGACGAGCAGTGCAGGACTCGGCCCTTTGACTCACACTGACAAAATGAGTAGCAGCCTATTTAATTAGTAATTAGTGTACAAATACCTTTAATTGCATGAGGAGTAGTTAGTGCATTTCATTAGCAAGGAGATAAAGACATTAATAAAACCACAGCAGTTATCACCATGTTTATCGTTATTGTTACTGTGCTTGTGCCTGAATAACACTCCACGCTGTGTGAAACCACCACACACATCATGACGGTATAGTCGGTATATTCATTCATTCATTGGGCTCAGATGAAATGATTGGACGGGAGTTCCACAGGAACTAATCCGCCTAAAGTACAGTAGGGACAATCTTCCAGATGGAAAAGAGATATGCTTAAATATGAAGTTGATACTATCAAAAGTTTATTGCATTATATTTGAGTTGGATTTAAACTATGTCAAAGCCCACTTACATTACTTCCCTTTAACACTGTGTTGTGATCATTGTGGAATACGGTTTTAATGTTTATATTGTTTTAATGCCCATAAAGAAAACTCCATTAAATATTGAACACGGACACTGATTGTGTGACACTTGAGAGGGGCCGATGTGGGCCGACCGTGGAAACTTGAACTCTGGTGCTCGGTACAGTACCCCCCCCCCCCCCCCCCCCACCTGAACCTGGACCCCGGTCCACCCACCAATGCGAGTGCTCCTCCAGGGTCTTGACGGGCTCCTGGACGTTACGGACGTCCCAGAACTTGACCTTGCAGTCGTCTCCACAGCTGGCCAGGTAGTACTGGCGGTTGGGGTTGAAGTCCAGGTCACGCACCAGCTGGCCGTGGGCATTCTCTATGCAGTAGATCTGACTGGAGAGGGGGGGAGAGGGAGGAGAGAGAGAGGAGGGAGGGAGGGATGATTAGGACGAAAGGAGATGACAGCACGCAAGAGGGATGAAAGAATTAGGATGGAGGGATTAGAACCAGCAGCCGGGGACAGAAATGATAAGAGTGGGGTGTGGAAGACAGGGGGACAGAGAGAGACAGGAATATGGAAGAACAACGGGGAGAGGAGATGAGAGAGAGAGGACATTCTGGCTGAATAAAGCTTCCTCTGTGTCTGTCAGTGAAGACGTGGTGAGTTATAAAGGACTCGTGACCACGCTGCAAGATAACAGAACGGCATTACAGAGGAGGGATTACCACGTTCCATCTATGAGCCCACCTCCACCACCTCATCTCCTCTCCTCAAATATACAGTTCAGCAGGTTGCCTGCAGCTCTGACCGTCTCTTTATGTTATTGCCATGGTTTCAAGAGCCAAATACAGCCATGGTTCTGTTCATCTTCACCAGGTTTTAGTTCAAACGTCTTAAGTAAAGGTTACAGATCAAAATGGGTGGATTTGTTATTGGAGGAGCAGACCAATGTACTAGTTGATCTGTGCTCGATCTGAACTGATTTTTACTGACAGTGAATAGACGGATACTGATGTCTCCCCCTGCGACAGGTAGGTTTACTGATACCAATAGAGGCTCAAGGCCCCGCTCTGCCCGGCCATCAGAGCCTTTAAACAGCAACAACGACATAATGAGCCTTTTCTTTTAGTACAGTGACAAAAAGGTAAATAAAGGTCACGTTTGACCAGAGAAGTTCCGATACTCGCTGCTGCTTGGTTGTTTCGGATGGGCTCTACAGGTGGGAGCTGTTTGAAAAGGTAAAGGTTATCGATATATGCAAAATGCAAAATTGAAATTGCTGATGAGGCTTTAAAAAACAACAGTACTTATTTGTCCAACCGGCACAGACGGATGTAAAAGTAGTCAGCTCAAGGTAAATAAAGAACTCTCCACCATGATTTTTTGCATCAATTGTCAGATATCAATTCATTTAAAGGGGTTTGGGACTTTCACCATTTTTATTACTCTTGATTAACTAATTAATTATCAGTTTTTGACTTTCAGGCTCCTGAAATCAGTTCAGCAGTAATATTCATCACAGTAAAGGTGTCTTCTTTACTTCACTGCCTTATATTTGTCCTACAAAATAGCTTCAGGATCGTAAAACAGCAGCGAGGACCCATTTCTGCATAAGCAGTCCCTCCGTATGCATGTTAAAACCCACACAGGTGTATTCATCAACGGTTCTGTGGCTAATAAACAAAAGCCGTGTTTTTTCTGAATAAAAGACGGACGCAGCAGATCAACTGGGTGTCCGAGAACTGAAACTGCTTGAATAAACCAGCGATTAATTAGCTCCAACGCGCTGCCTCTGCCATGAATGCAAAGACTCGGCTCTTGTTTTTCCCACCACGGTTTCCTCTCCAGGCGAGCCCAGCGACAGGGCGCTGCTCGGCAGCGTGGAACGCCTCAGTGTCGTGGCTCAGCTGGATGCCAACAGCAGCTAGCCAGCTAGCTAGTCACCCCGCTGATCGCGTTAGGCAATTAACATGCTAATTAAAAATCTCATTAAAATATAAGAGGTATAAGAGAATGACCTCGGGCAGACCGCTGGGCTTCAATCAGGTCAAGACAACTCAGGGACTGTGGTTAACTCTGTGTGTGTGTGTGTGTGTGTGTGTGTGTGTGTGTGTGTGTGTGTGTGCTACCACTTGGGCCCTTTGGTGTCGGCATATGGAGCTTGACAGTGTCGAATAACTTCCACTGCAGACACAATTTTTTTTGTGCAAAACACATGTTGTGTATGAGGAATTGGGTACAAATGAGTGTGCTGAAGCTGAATGAATCTGCATCATGTGTGCACTATGTATGCATACATGGTTATGAGGCTTTGGTTCACCATGTTATCTGTATCTAATTATGAGCTGTGTCCTATTTCCCTACAGTTTCCCAATATATTCAGTGCATTCTCAACAGGATAACGACCGTGAATACGATTCTTTTGTCTGAGGCATCGATTGTTGTCAGACTTTTCCATTACGTGTTGTTCTCCACAATGGTTCCAGATCTACCACAACTGAGTTACATTAAAGCTACGGGTGGTAATGTTGGCAAACCCCACAAATTAAAATGGATTAAAAAAATGAATCCAACCAAGCGTGTCAACGCATTTCCAATGAAGGCGGAGCTCTAAAAAGCTGAATCTAGCAAGGCAGTGACAACGTCTACAAAGGGTTCTACTGTGAAACTCACCAGACTCTGCTGGTTAAATCATCAAACGTCGCTGAGGCGTATCATGTCAGCATAGAATATTAACGTTAATGACGTTATTCATTCATTCCGGTGTTGGGCCAAAAACAATATTTGGATCGTGTCATTCGCAAGGACCACTCAATTTCTCAGTTGATACCAATATCAAACATTCCCCAACTTGCATTAAGCTGACAGTTTATATTCCGCTTCATCTTCCTCATCACTCACACTTGTTACTGTTATGGAATACAGATTTATTCATTGCGTTCATGGGACCCGATGTGAATGTAGACCAGGTACTCAAAATAGAAATTTAATATACAATTGTGGGCCGGGGCGCATGCTTTATTTACAGTGCCCCCTCCCTCTCCTGTGTGGGACTTCGAGGTAAAAGGCGTGACCCCGTCGTGGAATGGGACGCGCCCGCCGCGTGAAAAAGGGAAATGGAGCAGGAAATTGGGTTAGTTTGGCTCGTTCCCTCTCTGGTGTCTCTGAGCAGTACCAACCCACGCACAGCACCAACGCACAAACGCACAAACCCCACCGCCCAACAGCACAGGGACCTGGGACCTCCGGTGTGTGCCAGTCTGTGTTTGTGCAGAGCCACCCGACACACTCCATCCCAAGTCATCCAGCCGGCTGAGTGAGTGAGTGAGTGAGTGAGTGAGTGAGTGAGTGAGTGAGTGAGTGAGTGAGTGAGTGAGTGAGTGAGTGAGTGTGTGAGTGTGTGAGAGTGAGTGTGAGCGTGAGAGTGACTGAATGTGAAAATGAGTGATGTGAATCGAACTGTGAGTGAGTGAGTGAGTGAGTGAGTGAGTAGTGTGTGTGTAGAGATGCGGGTGTGAGTGAGTGAGTGAGTGAGTGTGTGTGTGTGTGTGTGATGGGGTGGTTGATGAGGGGACAGGGGACCTATTACACACATTGTTAGCCGCACACAGATAAAAACATCACAAGGGGAAGACTGTGCCTAAAATACTGTTATGTGTGTAAATACAGAGGGAGATTTAGGTGTGCAAGAGGGAAGCTACACAGGCAGACAGACACATTTGGCCATCACTGACACACACACACACACACACACACATTCACACGCTACCACACACACACATTCACACGCTACCACACACACACAGTCTCATCGCTGAGCCCGGGTGATAAATGTCTCTGCTGAGGGATCGACTGGAACACAGACGTTCACAGCCACGCACAAGAGCTCTCACAAACACACACACACACACACACACACACACACACACACACACACAGTTCTGTTTCTATGACAACTGCTGTGAGGAGGGAGGGGTTGAAAAGAAAAATCGAAAGAGGAGAGCAATCATTTCATCGCTGATCAAAATTAGAGCCTGGCTTTGAGATGGAGCTGGCAGAAGAAGAAAGATGGGAGGAAGATAGGGAGGGAGAGAAGGGGGGAGGTAAGAAGAGAGGGGGCGGTAGACTCTCCCCCTGCGCAAAAGGGATGAATGCTACCCTAAATTAATGGGGGGAGGGGGATCGATGGTTAGCAAGTGCTCACAAAAATGACAACAAAGTATCATCTTCCATCCGCTACACCTCCTCCTGTTGTCAAAGAATGAAGTCGGTGCACGTCGATAGACGCAGGTATGCAAGAGACCAACCCAAAACCCTTTACCTTTTAACTCTGATTAGTACAGAAAAAGCGGTATTTCTAATAAACGATAAGTCTATGATCTTGGAAGGGTAAGGTGTGGGGTTTTGAGGTTGATGCATCAGAGGGGGATATTAAGGTTAAGGTTGCCAGAAACAGGACTCAAACGCAGAGTTTTAACAACAAAAGGTACTTTTAATAATCAAAAAATGCTGAGGGGAAAAACGCAGACAAGACGGTGACCAGAAACTTACACCACACGGAGACGAGGTTCAGGGTAGAACATTCGAGACAAGGGCTTAAATACGCTGGGAAGGTGCAGGTGATTGGTCACAGGTGGAAACAAGGCAGGAAGTGAAGTTAACCCAAGGACACAAGAGGCATGAAACCACAAAATAAAACGAGACGTGAACCCAAACCGCGACAAAGGTAAGGGTTGGAATAATCATGGGCCGCACCATGGGAGGTTGGAATAATACAGGAATGTGTACCTTTAAACCATCGTAAACTTTTTTTATTCTTTTCATTCCAAGGGGAGGAAGAGGAGCATGTGAAAGGTCACACATGATCAATATGACAGTCGCCGGGTTCAAAAGGTCAACCTCAAATCAATGGAACCCCCGTCTTTAAAAAGCCCACATAGCAGACTTTGCATAATGACTGGGCGTTGGAATGTGATACCCGATGCTCCTAATGGGCACCACTTTTTGCATAATGGAGGTCTATTTGAATACGTGAATAAAATGTGATGGAAAGGGCTTTTTGAATAATGGTTTACCTTGGGAAATCATTACGGCACACCGAAGCACCGCCCCATCTGTTGCCCCGAGGAGGGAAAAGGGCTGTTTGCCCCCGTCCCCCCGTCCCCCAGGTGACAGCTTGTGAGGCCTTCAAGTGCTCGTCTGCACCAACAGACAGCTGGCTTTTAACCTGGACTGAGAGGGAGCGAACAGCGCCGGCATCAGTCATTCCACCTTCTTCTACTCTCTCGCTGTCTATCTCCATGTGGGTCTCCCCCCCCCCCTTCCTCTTGCTCACATATGCACCAGCACACACCACGGGGAGACGTGTAGCGCCTTCATGCTTCACTGCAGC